CACCGCTTCAGTTAGTTCTCCAATTCTTTTAACCAGGGGGCAAAGCACACTATGGTTCGCTTTGCCCACTGGCTCGCATTGAGGGTTTCGGATTCAAAGCGGATGGTCGTCCTGTTGTGATGCCCGTCAAGCTGAAATTTGTTCATATCTGATGGAAATCCTTTGATAAAACACTGCGTTATTTTACACAAAGAAGTTTCCTCAAATTGGTCGAAATATTTTTGGATTAATCATGCATTGGAAATTGGAATAAATATTGATGATTTCACGTTGAAAATCTCGCCGCAGCGTGGGTGTTCGAATCCAGCTCTGGCTCCGGAAACCATGAATTCGTGAAATCCACCGAACTTCCATCCGTCCATTCAAAAGCCTTTCCTCTGTCTGGATTTCTCTGCATAAAGAAATTTTTATGTTTGTTCAGGAAAAAACAAGGCGCAAAGTACATGGCCCAGGAATTTAGTGCACGCCCGATCCAGATACGACTCTCGATTACGCGACAAAGTATAAGCACACTGATGGGAACTACTACAAGCTTTTCTTCCAGGTGATTCAACTGTACACTGAAAGAAATTATGGACTCAATTATTTATAAATATTTCTAGACTCGAGTCGATCCTGATAGGAGAACGATCATGGATCTTTCAAAACATGAAGTACCCAGTCACACCGACTACTGGCTAATGACCGACAATGAATCGATTCGAACCTATGGGCTCTGTATCTTCAAATGTTGAGAGCTAACTGAAGAACCATAGGTTTTTGCTATTTTATTCACAATGTTTGTCCTTATTGTATTGTTTTCGAAATAAAATCTTTAAAGGATTGGTTCCAAGAAATTGCAACTCTTTAACAAACTCTTTCCCCATTTTGTTGGATATACACAGTTCAACTTTTTCCCAGATCCATGTTTGTTTGTTTCTTTTCAATCATTGAACATATGTTTGTCGTTTCGGTCTCCTAAGCCCTTTACTAAAAAGAAAAATGATTATCGCTAGTGCGAAAGAGTGGGGCAAAAGAGATAATCAACCAGAGAGAAAGCGACACTAAGCTAGTTGTATGTATGTTTATAATGTATGTAAGTTGTATGGAATCGCAAATTCTATCGATTTGTCCGATTCGTTCACCCTGGAATCTATTTGCCGACTTAGCTCTAATATCGTACAATAACCATTTAGTGCTTCGGATCGTCTTAGTGGGAATGTTTTGAAAATGAGGTAAAAGTTTCTTCAAGGTCTATATTCACACAACCAGCATTCCCAATCGATGACAAGCTCACCCAAAAGAGCAAACCTTGTATGAACCGAGAATTTGGAATGCTATAAACCACTAGTTTATCTCTCGATGTGTCAACCCACTTGAATCCGGAAGCTCGGAACTGATTTTCTCCGGCACCCACTCCCCAACTTCACACGAACTGACGGCTTTCTTTTTCCTGAAATGCCACTTTTTTTCTGTTCAAAGTCCTATTCGTAGCGATTGTTTCGACGGCTTAATGAGTCAATCGTCGGTTGGAAGGCGATCGCTTTTCTAAACAATTTCAAAGCTCTCAAAAGTTCTTTTCCGTGAATAAACAATTGTTTATCGCATTGTCGCCTCATTCCTCCTTCCCATTTCCCCGAATTCAAAACTAATCAACGAATAGATCGGAATGGGTGTGATGGCCGTCTGTCACGTCATCACGATTCTCCTTCTTTTCCATCAAATTTCTTCGTCCATTCAACAAAGCGTTCAAGTGGATCCATCCACGTATTCTTTTCCCTTCGAATAGCTATGTTTTCAACCATTCAGATCTCCGATAGATCGAGATGAAATTCTGTCGGGTGATCGTCGTACTTTGAAGTTGGTCAGAAAGAGATTTTTTGATGATCTTAGATTTCAGGGGTAAAAAGCATTGTCCGGATACCGTCTGCTTGAGATCTTGTCAACGAAATTTGTGGGTTTTTTTTGGGGTAAAGCGAAATTCGTAGAATAAACAAGAAATAGTGTCTTGAGTGTCTCAATGACAAGACTTTTCAGGAATGAAACCCAACAAGAACTCGTCGAGGCTCGAGGAAAAATCTCCGGACTCGAGAGAGAAATGTGGGTGAAATCAAGAAATCTTGCAGAATTCAAGCTCATCTTTTTTGGATTTGGAGTAGTGAGTAATTTGAGTATTCAGCGCAAGAGAGCGGAACGAAACGAAAGACAAAGACGTCGAGATGAGTCGATTGACAGCAAAAATGGCTCAAATCGAGGCGAATTTAATGGGGGAAATCGCCGAGACGAAAAGGAAGAACGACGATCTCGAAGCACAATTGTACTCATTTTGTCACTTTCTTTTTTGACAGGCTCAATATATAGTTTGAATGCGAGCTTTTTCCAGAAGCACTCAAAACACGGAAGTGAGAGACGGAAAAGCCAAGATTGGAGAGCTCGAAGGGAAAATCAACGCGTTGCAGAGCCAAAAATCTGTGGATGTAGAGATTCATAGAAAAGAAGAAATCGCCATTCCACCAAATGGTCTGTTTTTGGGTTGTTTTTTTAGTTTGAAATGGGGTCCCCTTTGTTTCAAGATTGACGCATGTCAATTTTCAGCAGGCTCATCGAAATCGCGTTTTTTTTACGTTTGACGTTTGACATTTGACGTTTAAAAATACTGTAAAGCGTTAGTATATAAAAGGTGTAGTGGATAGTCTGCTCACTCTTCGCGCTGCTCGGCCCCTTTCCCTGGTTCCCTGGTTTGCATCACTTTCAAATCACTTTTTGCTTTTCTTTTAAAGCATTAAAATCAATTTTTAGATGTGTCTACAACAATAAATAAATCTAACTCATCTAATAATCTCTAAATCAATTGGTATCCATTGTATTCACGATTTTTCTAGACACCGTCGCTCCCGCGATGCTCCAGGCATGCGCTCTTCCCAAGGACAAAGGAAGCGTTTGCGGATCCGGATACAAATTGGTGAATTTTAAAATGAGTGTCTTGAATTTAAGAAAGCTCAAGGCAAAGCAAGCAACAAGGATTTCTTTCTGCATTGGCTAGCCTAGCTGAACAAGATATTCTTTATACAGATTTTCAAAGCTTTCTAAACTCCTACTTTTCTTGTTTTTTTTTCAGTCTTGGTACTACGATACGACTGAGGGTCGATGCTCTCAATTCTCGTATGGTGGATGTGATGGAAATCAGAACCGATTCGCCACTGAGGAGATGTGCAAAGAAGTGTGTGTTGAGCCGCCAAAGCAAGGTACGATTTTGGTTTTTGGAAAATTTCCTTGATTTTCAGACCTCAACAGATTTGAAACATTGCTTTTAAAATGGTATTAAATCGTAAAAATACCGTAAAGCGTTAGTATTACAGTAGACTAACGATAAATAAGTATCCAGCTTCTAGACTGATTCCAATTTGAGATTTCTAAAAGAATATGCAGTTTAGCTGGATATTTTAATACGATAATAAGCTGTGGCTTTGATTGACTAAAAGTTTAGTTTAAAAAAATTTGTAATAGAAGTTTCAATGCTTAAATGATACAATTTTTTTGCTTACAGCTAAACTCCAACAAATTATTCCGAAAAAAATCGATTTAACATCCATTATTTTGAAACATTGAAATCTATAGCTTGAAATGAGCTAAAGAAATGGTTCAGCAAACATTAAATAAGCTTTAATATATAAAAAAAAAATAAAAAATTTTCAGTCGTTCAACCGCCACGAGTTTCTGGACTCAAGGCTCGCCCCGCTCCCCAGCATCCAGCTAGTAAATGAAAAGTTAATTCAAATTGATACAACTAGTAAAACCATGTAGAATAACAATTCTAAAATTCTAATATAGCCAATGAAACGCCGTTGGATGAGGTGAGAGACCCAAGGAGGGATCCAATTCATCCGGATCACCGAAAATTCCAAGATGACCTATTGAAAGCGCATGAAGAAAGACATCGAAAAATCCTCGAAGCGCGCAGAGAAGCGGCGAAATTGAGGGGAAATCAAGAGAGGAGAGGGTCAAGACCAGCTGCCGATGAGGAATTGTTGACAAGGGATAGAGAAGAACAACAACATCCTCGACAGCCTCAACAATCCCAGCAACGACCAGTCGAGGCCCGACAACAGCCAAATGATTTGCCTAGACATTATCAACATCAATAACCACTCAATGCCCCAATATCAATAATTTATAAATTGGACAGCCCAGCACCAAGATATTTGAGTTCAAAGTTAGATTGCCGATGACAGAAGGGCGGTGCGCGTATCAAATGTCCGATAGCCTTTAGAAACAACAAGAAAAGGATTCAGTTAACCTCCGAAAATTCTAACAATCCACCATCACTTGAATGCAAGAGATCCCCTTTGTTTCAAGATTGACGCATGTCAATTTTCAGCAGTCGGCTCATCGAAATCGCGTGACGTTTGTCAATTGCCCGTCCAATCGGGCAAATGCTCGGGCGCCTTCAAGATGTACTACTTCGAACCAGCATCGGGTGCCTGCGAGCAATTCTCGTTTTCGGGATGTGGAGGGAACAATAATCGCTTCAACACAAAAGAATCCTGTGAAAGTCTTTGCTTGAGAAAAGATGGAGAGATTCATAGCAATGAAGAAATAGTCATTCCATCAAATGGTCTGTTGTTGGTTTTTTTTAGTTTGGAATGGGTTGATTTTGGTTGAATTTGGCTAAACCATTTTAAACCATCATCTCTCAATCAGTTTTAAATTTAAAGCTTATAGTTAAAATTGGATTAGAAACTCAACTAAAAGTTCAATTTCTGTTCCTTTCCCGTTTGTAAGAATGAAAATTGCAAGATTTCAGCATGATTTGATTGTTAAACAATGATTTTCTGAATGTTTCAAGAATTGCAATGATTCAAAAATCGTTTTCTATCATTTTTTTTCAAACTTAAACTTTAATTCAGTTTCTTTACCTAGATTTGAAAGCTTTAGATCAACAAGAGATCTTAGAGATTCTTCGAAATAACCTCTCGTTGATTGAAAGCTTGGGCTTTTGTTTGTACTTAAACTTTGAAACGATGAATATTCTAGGGGCTGGTGCAGGAGCAAACTCATTGTGTGATGAGGCGAAAGACCCGGGTCCGTGTGTGCAATTCCAGACGAAATGGTTCTACAACAAAGCCGATGGAGTGTGCAACCGGTGAGGAAATCTAGCAAAAATGAAACTGATTTTATAAGCCAATAATTTCTTAAATAGTTTTACAAAGCAGTACAGTATCTACTTGTGAAACTAAACAATTGTAAACAGATATCTGGCTTGGCTTTGACTTGGCTTTGACTTGGCTTTGACTTGGTTTTGACTTGGCTTTGGCTCGGCTTTGACTTGGCTTTGGCTTGGCTTTGGCTTGGCTTTTGCTTAGCTTTGGCTTGGCTTTGACATGGCTTTGGCTTGGCTTTGGCTTGGCTTTTTGGAACAGCCTTGATCAACTGAGTGAAATTAATAGAGTAAAGAAATGAATGGCAGAATTTGGAACCGAGAGGGAATTGAAAATTGACCTAAAAAGCTGACAATTTGGAGTCATTTTTAAAAAGTTAACCTATTCAAAAACCTCGAATTTCCCTTCAATTCCGACATTTTCAGCTTCCACTACGGTGGCTGTGAGGGAACGGGCAATCGTTTCGACACCGAACAAGCCTGCAAATCCGCCTGCTCACAACATCAAGGTTCGTTTGAAAAGATGCAAGAAAAGCAAAAAGTTTTTGGCTTTGAAAAAATGGCTTTGAAACAAAATTTGGCTAATGTTTTATGCGTCAGAAAGAAAGCTGAATTAAGCGCATACTCGCAGATATCTCTCACATTGAAACACGAAATTCATTCGCTTTTTTGGGAATTATCATTGAATCATTGAAATTTAAAATATCTAGAATTTTTAGAAAACAAGTTTTTAACATGAAATGCTGTTTCGAAGCATGGACCTCATCATGAGTTTAGCTGATTTTTTAGTCTGCTTCATAAATCCAAAAATGAACACGATCTTGCACTTTTGCCATATTTTACTCTTGATTGTGGAGCTAAAAATTGAGTCGAATGTGTAGATTTAGATCTAATTATTTAGGATTCTAAATGAAAGAAAGGCTCAATGTTTATCCCGCTTTTATGACTAACAAAGTAGCCTTTGTAAGCAGGTTAATGGTTTTTTTTTCATTCGGCGTTTGTCCCAAATTCAATTGAACTCTATTTATAATGAAATTAACAATGCCTTTGTTCAAATTTATTAGTATTTATCTGAAGTTTTTCAGATTCCTGTTTCTTGCCCAAGGTGCAAGGTCCATGCTCGGGAAAACAGAAGAATTTCTTCTACAATCAAGACACACGTCAATGCGAGGAATTCGCTTATGGAGGATGTCTCGGGAATACGAATCGGTGAGGGGAAAACGATAGGGATCAGGAAAGGAGAAAATAGAGAAACTAAATAGCTACCGTAAAATACTCTATTAGAACGCCAGTTCCTCGTACAATCGCGTAGTCGCAAAAGGATTTCAAAAGTATTTTTAATATTTCATTTTTTTTTCAGAACGCTTATTTCAAAAAACGCGTCTTTGTTCTCAAAAAATAGCCTTGAATTTCCGCTATTTTTTGATAGCTAAGCTCACATTGTAGCTTAAAGCAGTGCCAAGAAAAACTCGTTTAAAGTTAGACTACACGACTGTACGCCCGTCATTATGGGGCTGGCGTTCTATTAGAGTACGGTAGATAGTTTCAAAGTGGATCTAAAGTTTATAGAGTGGAAAGTTGAGCCTTTCATTTTGATTTGAATTTGAATTTGAAGCAATTTGAAGCAGCTTAATTTCGAAAAGCTTAAAAGTCAATGAATCAAAGAATTAGAATCATTTTTGAAAAGGATTAAATATAAGAAGCAATAATCGAATATTGCGTATAAATAGTGAATTCAGTGAAACAGTAAAACAGTGAATGGGAAAAAGAAGGCTTTGAAAAGCTTGAAAGCCGTTTTCTGAAAGCTATTAGTCAGATAAGGTCATTTTCATCTTTCTTTAAATTGAAACTTTTTTAAATCCTAAAGTTAAAATCCTAAAGCTAAAGAAAATGTTTAACGATTTAAATTTGATGAAATCTCAAATGAAATTAATGAAATTATCCTTTCCAGTTTCGCCACCATCGAGGAATGTCTGGCTCGTTGTGCACGTGTGAAAGAAAAGTGAAAGAAATGAGTTCTTCAAAAATTTTGAAACATCGAATCTTCACAAAAAAAAATTCCAATGATTTCCTTTTTTTTTCTTAACTTATCTTTGTTGATGTTGATGAAATTCTGAAATTTTCTTTTGTTTTTAATCTTATTCTCTCTCCAAGAAACGATTTCTTCTGTTCTCTACGAGTTTTCGACAAAAAATTAAGATTCTTTTTTTCTTTTTTTTTGAAACTTTTCTTTAATAAATCCCGAGCATCTAAAAATTTCCTTAAAAAATACAGAAAACTGATGCTTTGTGTGCTAGAATTTCCGCTTTTCTTTGTTTTAACCATTTTGTTTTTTCCATTAAAAGTAATGGAAAGAGTAAAGAGGTTTTCATTCAGTTTCAAAATTTTCAACTTTTAAATCTTTCAGCGAACTTTAATCACTTCTATGTTTTAAATTTTTAAATTTTTCATTATTCAGTCAAAAATTTCGAGTAGAAAATTCGAAAATAAATGAAAATCTCGATTTTGTTTTTGTTTGTTTTGTTACACTTTGAATTATGTTAAGCTTTATGTTAAGCTCAAAGTTTGAAGCTTTGACTTTTCATTGGAGTGATTCAGCTAGATCACCGTAGTTTTACCTAGCCTAGCTGCAAAATCTAAAGCCTATAGTTTCCTAAAAGGTGGGCGCGCTCGGGGAAAAAAGTTACCGTAATCTTACTCATCGATACGTTTCGAAAACAACCTGGTTACCATATTTTTCAATCGAAATACTGCTTTTTTTTGAAGCTTCTAACTGGGGAAGATGGTCATTTTGATGCACACTTTGTGTATTTGATAGAGTTTTGAATGGGGAATTCGAATATGCTTTTAGTTTTTCCAATAAAGCTCTGTATCTCAAGAAATCTGGCATCAAAGTTTCAGACCCGAAATCCGACAGTATTTCAGCGCAATTTTGATTTTTTTTTGCTTTTTTAAGAAAATTTATTGCAATTAACAAAGTGAAATTACAAATGAAAATTTACAGGCCTTATAAAGACCCCATTTCCGTATTTTTGCTCCTCGAAACAGTTTTTTGAATCAAATTTCTTGATCAACTTTTGGACTCTGAGTTGACCACTCACATTAGTTCGTTTTATTATGAGTTTTATTACTTATTTACTGTTATGATTATTTATTATTAATCTCGTTTTATCATGAGCTTGAAAATATTTAGTTAAAATTGTTACCGTAATACCTACAGTGCGTTTCAAATTCTTAAACGCACCCTCTAAAATAGCGGATTTTGCATTTTGACCACCGCTACAACTATTAATCTTTTTCTATTATAAAGAGCATGTCTTAAAACCTAAATAACACGAAAAAGAAGCATACTGTAAAAAGTAAAAATTTTCAAAATAGAAACTTTTTGCTAAATCGACCGTTTCAAATTCTTAAACCCACTATGAAAATATTTTTATTTATCGACACAAATTAAAAATCAAAGGTTAAAAATCAAAACTAATAATCTGTACACGCACCAGAACAATTAATTACTTGAAAAATGCGGTCTGGCATTGAATTGATGAGGTTTTGAAGAGCAGAGACGTCGAGATCGCTCCAGGCCGAAAAAAGTGCTGCTTTAAGTGTAGAAACGTCTTGAAACTGACGATGATTCTTGTAGACAGCTTGGACAAGTATTTCCCATAAATTTTCTATCGGATTGAGGTCAGGAAACTGAGCGGGCCAGTCCAAAGTTGCAATGTTGTTGCTGTTCAGCCAGTTTCGGGTGTCTCCGGCTCAATGAATTGATGCGTTGTCGTATTGAAACAAGTCCGGAACGGTTGGATTTAGGAGCAAAAACGGCAACAAGCAATTGTTCAAGATATCTATCTAGTCATCCGATTCGAAACCATCTTCAGAGCGACCGTTCCATCAGCACAAAAGGCGGCCCAAACCATCACAAAACCACCGTCAAAGTTTTGAGTTCCAAACACCATCGGATCACGTCGAAGATCCTTTCAATAGTAGTCGACGCCATTGGGACCATCCCAATTTCATTTCTTCTCATCGGAAAAGATCACCTAAACGCTAAAAAAATAATAAAACATAAGCGGCTTTCTAACCATAGATCAATCCTGATTCATATGAGCCTTGGCGAACTCCAATCGGGCTTTCTTGTGCAAAAGCTTCACGACCGGCTGCATGTTCAATAATTGTCGATCGATATGTGGATTTTCCGTGACGACTCGCCAAATTGTCGACTTCGAAGCGTCGATTTTCAGTCTGTTTTCACTTCATTGATCGTTTTTCCGTGGATTTTGTTCACAATATGGCGTCTAGCTCGCGGCGTAAGCTTGGTTTCGGTCCTGGCTTCTTCTTTGGTGCAGAAACGAACTCGAACTTTCTATAATTTCGCACGGCAGAGTCGGATCGGCCAAAATTTTTTGCGATTTTCCTTATTCAGTCGCCAATCCTCAAACGGGCATCAATCTGGCCTTTATCATAATCCGTGAGCAGCTTTCCGTGTGCCATTTACCTGGAAATTAACAAAAATTATAAATTTAATAAAAAGATATGCACAACAAAACGAAAAATTTCAAATAACAACAGCAAAGGCAGGTGCGTTTAAGAATTTGAAACGGTCGATTTAGCAAAAAGTTTCTATTTTGAAAATTTTTACTTTTTATAGTATGCTTATTTTTCGTGTTATTTAGGTTTTAAGACATGCCTTTTCTGATAGAAAAAGATTAATAGTTGTAGCGGTGGTCAAAATGCAAAATCCGCTATTTTAGAGGGTGCGTTTAAGAATTTGAAACGCACTGTAGGTATTACGGTAACAATTTTAACTAAATATTTTCAAGCTCATGATAAAACGAGATTAATAATAAATAATCATAACAGTAAATAAGTAATAAAACTCATAATAAAACGAACTAATGTGAGTGGTCAACTCAGAGTCCAAAAGTTGATCAAGAAATTTGATTCAAAAAACTGTTTCGAGGAGCAAAAATACGGAAATGGGGTCTTTATGGGCGAACAAATGAAGTCCACAAAATGGTAACGAGCTCTGAAATTGGAAAGCGCTTTTCTCATTTGGAGTTCGTAAAGGAAATTGATGTGTCCAAAAATGACGTAAGAAATCAAAAAAAGGGCTAAATACTCAGTCAATCAAGAAAAGTAGCAAATTATTTGCTCTCTGAATATCTTATGCTTTCAACTTTAATCACAACATATTCAATCAAACATCAAAAGGGAAACAATGCGGTTAACTTTGGAGCAGTCACATTTCAAGTACTCGAGCAGTCGTTTTCAAAAAGTTTTCAAAAGATCCCTGTTTATATTATTTTGGAAAAACACAGCCTTTGCTCCTAAGCATCTAAAAGTTTCGTTAAAAGTTAAAGTAGAGTTAGAAATATTCCCTCAATTTTACCACCCTCAAAACACAAACTCTCAATTCGATTTCTTTCTAGCGTTCATTCTTTTTTGTTGATTGTTCGATGATTCTAATGCTTTCTTTTTAGGAAATGACGGGGTTCGAATCGCCCAATTGCATTCTCTGCAAGAAACCGTGTAAGTTTTTGCTTTTTTAGTGATGGACCTCGAAATAATCTAGATTTTAAAGCTTAAATAAAGTGGGGTTTTCTTTTATTTGTCAATCTTTTAGTTACTCGAGTTGTTGAACAATCTCGATCTCCAGGTCAGTTGGGTTGCGAATTGGCCATCTCAATAACATAGAATTGATGATTTTTGAAATTGAATTTGAAATGATTTTTGCGATCATTTCAAATTCAATTGTAGTAATTTACGATTGGAAAAGCTTTCTTTCGTCACTCACAGACACACTTGTTTGAGTCATAACTTTTTTGAGTCTGATGGATTTTATATTTTTTTCAAATGATTTGAAATGATCGCAAAAAGTTTCAAATATTCAACTGGTGACCTACCTTTATCTGCCTATTTTTATTTTTTTTGTTCATTAGGCTGGTCGACTAATTCGTAACTTTTGTATTAACTTTTAAAGTGTAATTTCTCAAAAACCACAGCATCAATCTTTCTGAAAATCTAGAGAACATTAACTTCTTTGAAGCGGTATTTTCTTATCAAATAAAGCCATTCGAAGTTAATATTTCTTCAGAAGTTCTTAAGTCTGCTTCAAATATGACCGATTTACGCGAGAAATATGAATCATTCACGTGTTTGACACTCTAAAGCATAAAACATTTTTTCTTTAGACAAACGAAATCAACATTTGAATCATCCGCTGAGAATTACTTGCCTCATTTGCGTAAATTCGGCACTCAAGTTAGGGTGAGTTGGGCGGTTTTAAAACAATTTCATTCTATTTATTTGGGAACTGCTTCAAGCCTCAAAGAGTTTCCCGCTGTCAAAAAAACCAAAAATGCAAAGTGATATGTAAAATCTTTGATTGTCTTTTTAAAAATGTTATTATATCTTTATGTGAATACGTTCGTCAATTAATAACGAATAAGAACTTTTAATAAGAACCAGCCGTAACCCCCTCTGACGCTAAAGGGCCTTTACAATAAGGTTGAAGGAACATCTAGCTACCTAATAAATAAAAGCTCATGGAAATTATAATTTCAGAGGCATTTAAAATTCAATAACAAATCGACGAGTTAAGGGACAAGAAGAGCGACCTTCACGAAGAATCCTCAGTTTCCTCGTGCTGATGTCCATTGATGTTCGACACGTTTATCGAATAGGAGTCTATTCAGGAGAGGTGAGAGAGCAAACTACTTCCAGCTTCAGGCGGAATTCTGGGTTTTTGGGAAAACCTTTTATTTTGAAGATTTTGAAGAAACAATTCAGAAATAAAGAAAAAGATAATGTGCAGTTGTGTGTCTTCAGAAGATTGAATAAGATGGGATTTATTGGTATTTGTCCACAGAAAAGAACACAAAGCATTTATGAGAATTGAGAGCTCATTTTGCAGATAAAAGGAGCCTGATAGGTAGGAGCAGAAGAGCCCACGAACCATCCCTCATCGTGGCTCGAAAGCTGAAATATGTTCATTTCTGATGAA